AGGGAAAATCTGCATATGAGTAATTGAGTATCAAGTATTAACGCTAAGTTCAAAATCCGAAGTCATTGTAACCGCTGTCAAATTAGCAACAGCTTTATTCACGGGTGAGCTATATGGCTATATCTATATAAACAACAGTGGATTGTGCGCATCAAGCAGAAATGGGGCTACGGGGGTATAAATACGGAAATTTCCTGCACCAAAGCAGCAGTTGCTCACCGTCTTTCTACGGAGCAACATCTGTGCCGTTCGCGCCCGTAAACCATAAGCGCGTATTCGTATAAGCGAATTGAGGCGAAATTTTAAGAAAATAAAAGTAAAGAACCAAACGAAACCATCTCCATCGAGCCACCGTATCTAAACCGAAGATGATTTTCACGACATTCCGGAGAAAATTATAAGCTAAATAACCGAAGAAGATTCCCACTTTATATTCTGAGCGCGGTGCGTGTGCGTTGAGGATACCAAAGACGTTTCACTGAAGCTTGCCTGTGATTGGCCAACCCAAATTCGAATAGCAGCCTGCAGTAGGCCGTCCTAAACTCTTATTATTTTCATCGTGTTATTGCCCCGAATAGATTTTGTTTTGTTTTTTTTTAATTCACCATAGCCTACTTGATTAAAATATAAAAACCGTTGATATAACTGGTATCTTATTTTCAATCTTATGCTATGATAGCTCCTTGAAAAGAGAATTAAAAAATCTATCATTCTAAAAATCCAATATGGCACCTATTTAACTTTAGGAAGTTGGTAAATGTTCCTCAAAGGTAGCCATCTTGAATTTTGTTTTGACATCAATTCTAAATTAGGCGTATCAAAGACAGTAACTTTTATATAAAACTTTTTTTAATATCTCTTATACTTTCGATGATATATAAGACATTAAAGGAAATGACCAATTTTATTTTTTTTGAATTTACGTCGAACCTATTCGACATTTTGAATTTCTATAAGGAAATTTTAAATAAGCATCTAAAACTGCAAAACATTGTCCATTTAACCAATTCTCTATCTTTAATAATAAGAAAGTTACCCATGCAATCCCACCCGATCTGGGACACACTGTATATTAATTTCTGAAACAAAAATTAAGTTTCTTTCTGTACTGGGCGGTTCTAGGGTAAATATTTTGACTTCAGTTAACGTAATAAAGACAAATTTTCCTTTTTATGCAGTGAAGTTTTGTGAATGAATAAGTTAACCCTGCTCTTACAGGAATGTGCCGCCTCAACCACCATTTCTTTTAACATGTATTACTTACAGATTAAAAGCGAATTTCTAAGAAAATAAGAACGTTTTAATAAAGATTATTGATTTTTATTCATTTATCCTTTCCCATTTCCTCGAGGCCAGAAAAGGACAATCGACTGAACTCTAGCCGGAGCTCAACAACAATTGTTTTGTGTAAGAAGAGCCACTCCAAAGTAGTTGGAGAAAGAAACGGTAGGAAGAGTTGAAAAGTAACCAGCCGGTTACAAGGACTTGATGTATTTTCCAGAGAGAGAGGAGATAACGCATGAAACTGCGCGAAGTTACAAAACAAGGGGGCTGCCATTTTGACACCCATTGAAGCGCGAAATTTGAACAGGACTATAAAGGTTTACTGACGCAACCCAGAGACATCTAACGCAATCTTCATACACTACACTATTCGGCAGCAGCTCCGTAGGAAGAAACTAATATCTCAATCCAAATGAACAAAAAAAAATGCCAGTGACGTTGACGTTACAAAATAAACACTTAAACCTCGAAAAAAGCTCTCCTAAACACGAACACACGCTAAAATAACATTAAACACAACATGACACAACGGGTGTAAAAATGGCAGCGCCCATGAGGTCGCACCCTTTCTTGGATGCGCACTCGTCGATCACCGATCTCCTCTCTCCATGTCTCTGGTATTTTCGCATCTTTGCAAAGAGCCTAACGTGCCGATGATGAGTCCGACGTCGAATGGGAATAACGAAATCATTTTGGATTTTAGTCTAATGCCATAAATTATGAAGCGGCAACCTGTCAGCTGGTTCCGTTCGGTCGCTCCATTAAATTATGTAGGTAAGAGCTTTATGTTTAAATCAAGTGTAATCGTTAGCGGAGTGAGTTTTCTTTGCGTGATTCGTATTCACCGTATGCATTATTTAAATGAGGCGTTCGATTTTACTAATCCCAAGATTTACGCTTCTAATCCTTTCGATGCACTTTCACTGTTGCGGTTTGTTTGTATGTCATGTATAAGGTAATGGAATCGTATTCCAAAGCATCTCGTCTGCGTTTTCAAACAAATCCACTCCCCACCCCGAAAAGAAGATGTTATGGAGACCGTGTCAATTACTGCACCAGCAAGTACAGTGCACTAACATAGCCTAAAAGAGTAGAGAGGAAGAGTTCTAAAACTACACCTGCTTCCAAGCACCACCAGAAGTACCCGGAAAGTCAAGCTGGCTCAAGGTCAAGGCAGAATACTTCCTTGATAGAGAAAACGTTTAACAATGAGGCAGCCTATGTGAGACATTCAAACATGTGTCGTCAGATAAAGGTACATGAGGACGGCCAACCATTGCAGACCGCATAAATCAGTGTCAGGCCCTTTTTGCAGAAGAGCCGAGAATATCCTATCCGGTGTGATAATCCACCCTTATGGTTAGGCACACACCTTTACATCTGAAACAAAAATATGATATGCTCTGTATATAACCGATCGACCGTTTTGCGCAGATATCGAAAACTAGGGGATTTTCGTAACGAAGCTAGGGGAAAAAAAGAACGGGGGGAATGAAGAACATGGCGACGAGGTCGATGGAGGGCATCGTGCTTTCCTGGGTTTTTATTCTTGATTATTTTAGATGTGGTGTTTTGAAGGTGTAATTACAGGTAGCAACCATTTTATTCTTTCTTGTATTAACTATTAATCATTGAATTTCTTGCCACAATTTGATATTATTTTCATTTTTCGGATTTTGCATAAGCTGCGATGTCTAAATATGGCGTACTCTATGCTTTTGTTTTTGAGTACCGTTAGATGAATCGTGTTTGTTATACTGTACCGGTGATTATGCCATTATTTTGTTTTATTAAGTATTTATTTCTTTATTCACGAGGAGTTGATTATCAGTGCGATGTTGCTCTGTTCGATTGATTCGTAAGTATTCCGTGAGGGAAGTACCTAATACAGTTTGATTGTTCGTTGTATCTGTTACTTTCTTATTCGTGGCGCGCTGTAGTTCTTGTGCGTTAGCTATACGAAGGGGGGCTCTCTTATTTGATGTTTCGATGTTTGTGTGCGTGAGTGGTTCATTCTGTCTCCGTGGAGTAGGTACCTAATTCAGTTCGATCTTTTGCTGTATCGGTTGACTACTCGTCTCGTGCGGATTGCAGTTCTTAGCAACTTAGTAATGCGAGATATTTAGGGGTCCTCTCGTTTATTTAAAATATGTTCTGCTTGAGCGATAATCGACTTTCACATGAATACTTGCTATTGGCATTCTCACATGTACTTTTCGTGTTAAATTAATTTATGTTAACTGAAGGCTGGAGTAGAGCCACACCATTTACATGTCTCCTATGTACATGCAATTTATTATTTTACGAGTTGTGTTAGCTCAATTGATCGTACAGGTATTGTGACTTGTTTTTGTACTGAATTGATTTATCAGGTTTTCCACTGCATTTATGATGATGTCTTGTGTATTTTGTTTTTATGAACTTGTTTAATTGCATTTGATTTGATTATCTGACTTTTATCATACAATTTGGGATGTTTTATTTATGTGTATTTTTTCTTGCATTTTATTGCTGTAGGTGATTTATTTCATGTATTTGTGTGGCATATGCCGGGGTTTTTGTCCCATAGAAGGTTTCCCTGGTATGGTCTTGTGTGCGTAATATATTTGTTTGTTCTGGTAATTTCTTACGCACAAAAAGTTCTGTCTTTTATTTAATTCCCTTCCCGATTATGTCTCACGTCCCAACACATACAAGAACCGATTACACAACGTAGGAGTTCATTCGCGCCACCCATATCGAGCCGACTGCCATCCAAATTCAAAAGTGCCACGAAACGTCCATCGTTTCGACTTGAAAGGTAGGTGGCTCTGCTTGTAGTTTTTTTCCCAGAGTTGCCAACGGTAAGTATAGGGTAAGTCAACGTTTTCACTGTCGGCTTGATAGACCCCTAGGATCGTTACACCGGCGATGTACTCTTAATGGGCTGAACGTGTTCTATTAAAAGCATGTTACCACAGGAGGTCCGCCTCCATGATCCTTGTTTACACCTTCGAATATGATCTTTATACCTGCGCTGAGCGATAACTTAAGATCTTCCCAGTTCGCATGGCCCTGCGAACTTCCTTACGAACCTTTTCAAAGTTTGAGTTCCACCAAGGTGTTCTCTTCAAAAGGTCCGCAGTTTACAGCTGTCCTCATATGATACTGTGGCTGTGACGCTTATTAATGCGACCGCCTCTTCCACCTGCCTGACAGAGCAAATGTGAAAGGTGGTACATCGAACCGCTCTGACAGTTTCGCCACGTAGCAGTCCTATTCAGCGGATCGGGGATTCCGAAACTCACAGGATCTGCAGTGGAGGTGCCAGATTTAGTTGGAGAAGAATGTGCCTGTGGTCCGAAAGCGACGGCTCATCAGAAACTTCAATTTGTGACCATGCGAGCTATTGAAAAGGGGCCCAACTGCAGATCAATAACCTCTTGCCTGCGCGCTGTGACGAAGGCATAGGGCCCCTGATTTAAATCTTGGTTATCAATCATATTGCATACTGTAAATACGAAATATGCAAAGAAAACGCCCTCCGCTAACGATTACACTTGATTTAAACATGGAGTTCTTACATAATTGAATGGTGCGACGTATAATTACCCGAACGGAACCAGCTGACAGGTTGTCGCTTCATAATTTATGGCGTTAGATTAAAATCCGATATCACTTCCTTATTCCAATCCAACGTCGGACTCATCATGAGCACCTCTTGCTGTTTTGAAAAGATGCGAAAGTATATCAAGCTCTTTGGGTTGAATCTTAACTCCAAATTCGGTCTGATAGATAAGATTGTGTTGTGGATCTTTCCGTCATGCCTGTACGTGTACAGTGCCATGGTGTTGCTGAGAAAATGGAACTTTAAGGACGATCTCCAAGATGTTTTGTACGGAATGGGCCTTGTGACAGGTTCGCAATGGGAGCTTTTAAGCCAGCTCACTTATGGTTCTTTACAGCAATCCCTCACATTACAATACCCCGGGCTAAAAGAACCACCTTGGTGAAAATTATGGACTTCTTGGAGAACATTGAAATACCCAGTGGAAAAGGTCGAGAACAACTTCGGTCTTCTCTACGAAGAACTGCTGTGACGGCGGTAGTCAAGGATGTAGCAAATGAATCGATTGTAATCACATTCTTTGAAGGCGAAGGTGACCAGACCCATGGGAGTAGTAACTGTTACCGCCATTGTCAGCGTGTGGATTCTGACTCCTGAACGTAGTGGACTTCCTTTCAGTTCGATGCCAGAGTCTGCGTTAAACTTCAGTTTCGTCGGCTGTTTGATTTTTCAAGTTTTGATGTACTGTGGTCACGCGCACGAGTACATAATGCTGGACGGCCTAAAAATTAACATCTTGGTGCAGCTGCGCATGCACTTTCAATACTTAAGATTAAATGTCGAGGACATTTTGGCATACCATCCTTCAGAACTAGAAAGGGGCGAGGCATGGAATGTCTTCCAGAAACGGCTGAAGGAGTTAGTCACGTACCATTGCTCGCTAACAACGCTCGTGGAGATGGTGGAAGATGTATTTAACAAATGCGTTCTTTTTAGTTTCCTCACCTTGTCAGTCTTCTCGTGCTTTTCCCTGTATAGCATGTCAAGCGTGAGTTGCCTATGTCGTTAATTTTTCACTACCATATTTGGCTTAGATCGCCTTATTTGGACTGCAATTTTGGAAATTTGCCGGATTTATCCTTTTTCCCTGCATACTGTTCTTTGTAGACTGTTACTTTTCCGAAGAAGTACTGACAGAAAGCGCCGAGTTGTCTAATTCGTGTTACAACGTTGAGTTTATCGGCGCCGATGTAAGATTCCAGAAGGCCTTGCTGATGCTCATCCGAAGAAGTCAGAAGAGACTGATGTTTACGATCGGAAAATTTGCTCCACTTTCGATTTTAACAACCGTCACCGTAAGTCACCTAGAAGTCGTCAGTTTCTTACGAATTCCATTCCAGATTATGAAGGCTGCTGTTTCGTACTTTATGTTGTTGCGGAATATGAAAAACCATTAATGCCACTATGTGTTACAGGTTACTACCAATAAGTAGTTCGTATCAAAGCTCAGACTCACCCCCCTCCTTTCCTCTAAGAGTAACTACATATACTGCAAAATGACACGATCATGGAGTCGTCGCAAAAGTGATGTAAGCATGTGGGGTAGCATGCAGATTATTAAAATAAATGTTTCCACCCAAAAATGGTTTAATTTCAATCGAATTCCTTTTTGTGCATGAACTCTCACTGTTGTACTAGGTTCCCTCACCCCTAGTGATGTCGATGGTTCCGACCCCTAGTCGAAGTTAAGAACCACTACACAAGCCTGTAGCTCATCGAGATCCTTCTCGATCTTTGAGGGCAATGGATCCTGCTGCTCCGGTGGAGCTCTCTCCTGTACCTGGCGCAGCCGGAGCACTCGCTTTCGTCACAAAAGTGACGTGTGTGAGACCAAAGAGTACCCATAATTACTCTTTGGTGAGACCCCCACGTGCGCTTAGAAGTTCCGCCGCTGGAGTGCTCGATAGGATGCCAGATGCGAGGAGATACTTACCGGGCTCCTTCCTACGGAAGGACGTCCACTCTCCAGATTCCGGCGGAACTCTGCCAGTCAAAGAAAGGCTCCCCTCCATCTCGTCAACAACTGCATTCATAACTGCAGCAATAATGCACCTCAACTGAGGCTCTGTGATGCCTCTGAGCCCCGCCGCAGCGACGTGCCCAAAAGTTCGTGGTGTGTCCGCAAATCTGGGTGCTCTAGATCCTCTAGGCTTCTTCTCAGGTTGCCCTGAGCCGACCATAGCGTGCTTCATTCCGATCTAAGTATAAGGGGGGTTACCGGGTTCTCTTGTAATTCATTTAGGAACCAAATACTTCTTTACTGAGACCACAAAAAAAAACAATACATTTTAGAATAAGAAGAAAAGCAAACATTCCGCTGAGTCGCCACTACGAATACTCCTCTTTCATCACTCGTCGTCATAGCAGAAATCTTCTTCCCGCCGCTCCCTCCTCTCTCGAGCGGATCTCCGCAATTCCACCGCGGTATTTGTTACATAAGACGTTTGGTAAAAGACAGAAATGTTGTACGTAAGAAATGACAAGAACAAATCAATATATTACGCACACAACAAGACCATACCAGGAAAACCTTCTACGGGACAAAAACCACGGCATAGGCTACACAAATACATGAAATAAATCACCTACAGTAATAAAATGCAAGCGAACGTACACATAAATAAAACATCTCAAATTGTATGATAAAAATCAGATAATCAAATCAAATGCAATTAAACAAGTTCATAAAAACAAAATACACAAGACAACTAATGCACTGGAAAACCTGATAAACCAATTCAGTACAAAAACACATCTAAATACCTGTACGATCGAATGAGCCAACACAACTTGTAAAATAATAAATGTACAGAGTGTAAATCGAAAAGTGGAACATAGGCGTTTAACATGGGAAATTACTTTTTCTTTGCGCAAACGTTTCCTAATTATTTTATGCAAAAATACTTCAAATAAACCGATACAACGAAATATCGAAGGATCCTCAGTATTACAATAACTTTTAACGATAATTTATTTTAATGTTACAAAATACATCAAATTCATGTCTTGGCCATTGAGATAATGCTCTTAATCTTGTTTTGATCAAAATCCATGTGGTCGCCAAAAATAGATCAAATTCATGTTTTGATCATTGAGATAATGCTCTTGGTCTTTTTCCCAACGTTCTTGGTGCATAAATAACGATTTTGACATGTTTTGATCAAAATTCATGTGGTCGCCAAAAATAGATCAAATTCATGTTTTGGTCATTGAGATGATGCTCTTAGTCTTTTTCCCAACGATCTTGGTGCATAAATAACGATTTTGACATGTTTTGATCAAAATCCATGTGGTCGCCAGAAATGCATCAAATTTATGTCTTGAGCATTGAGATAATGCCCCTAGTCTTTTTCTCGACGATCTTGGTGCATAAATAACGATTTTGATTATTTTGATCAAAACCCATATGGCAATAATTTAACATTTTTGAATCACACACATGCGGTTATCAAATGTGCACGTGATGTACTCTTGCTGCATCAAGATAATGCGTTTGAAACCTTTTAAAACTCTAAATTCATGTATAAAGTGTAATTTTTGCTACATTTTGCTCTAAAACTTTCGACCTATACCACAGAGAAGAGTTATATTAAAGTATTACACATCTAAGAGTCATAGGGAATAATCTAGCGGAAGTCCCAACCCGATACATGACCTAGGGAATGAAATATGTTGATTTCTATTATATTGAGCCCGTAGTTTTTCCTGTTCCCGATTCACTCGAAGTCCTATAACTTTTGTTCCTATTGAACCAGCTTCCTGAAAATCAATAGCGTCCGTCCTTAATGTCCAAAGAACCCGTACACCAAATTTCAACTCAATCGGCCACTTTTAAAAAGAGTTAGAGCGCACACGGACGGACGGACGGACGACAATACAAAACTATAAAGGATCTGAGGATCCTTAATAAAAGTTATAGAGATATAAATTCTGCATCTAAATCACGTGAAACGATTATTCTACCTCTTTTGTACACGAAAAAATTAATTATAAAGATTAAGATTATAAGATTTTCACGAGTTTGTAGTCTAAGTAGCCATGGACTATGATAAAAGAAAAACATTTTATTTGTTACTCAGTTGTAAACGTTGATTAACAAGACAAAACGCAAACGAGTAAACGTCATCTTTAAACGCTACTGACTTGTAAAACTGACAGCTGACGTGTAAAATTTTACAAGTTAGTATCTAATCTAGTAATTTCATTGGCCAGATTTAATGCGAAGTCTCTGTTACATGGATAATATGATATTTTAGGCATTTCTTCGAGATCAATTTAAGAACTAATTATTTACGTTTACAAATGAGTAACAAATAAAATATTGTACTTGTACAATATACGCCAGGTAATAGTTTTTACTGGCTCTAGGAGATGACAGGCTCGCCTGACGGCTCGCCAGTCAACTTCTCCTATCGCCAGTAAAAACTCACTTACCTGGCTAATAATGTAAAATACTATAACACGAAAAGTACATGTGAGAATGCCAATAGCAAGTATTCATGTGAAAATCGATTATCGCTCAAGCAGAACATATTTTAAATAAAGGAAATGTTAATGAGAGGTCCTCTAAATATCTCGCTTGCTAAGATGCTAAGAACTGCAATCCGCACGAGACGAGTAGGCAACAAATACAGCGAAAGATAGAACTGTATTAGGTACCTACTCCACGGAGACAGAATGAACCACTCTCACACACAAACATCGAAACATCAAATAAGAGCCCCCCTAACGCACAAGAACTGCAGCGCGCCACGAATAAGAAAGTAACAGATACAGCGAACAATCAAACTGTATTAGGTACTTCCCTCACGGAATAGTTACGAATCAATCGAACAGAGCAACATCGCACTGATAATCAACTCCTCGTGAATACATAAATAAATATTTAATAGAACAAAATAATGGCATAATCGCCGGTACAGTATAACAGACACGATTCATCTAACGGTACCCAAAAACAAAAGCATGGAGTACGCCATATTTAGATAACGCAGTTTATGCAAAATCAGCAAAATGTAAATAATATCAAATTGTGGCAAGAAATTCAATGATTAATAGCTAGTACAAGAAAGAATAAAATGGTTACTGTAGTAAAGTAGGTAGGTTACTGGCGCCCTCTAGTAGTAAGTAAGGTATGTAGTTTGATGATTAGTTGCTGTAGTTTTCCATATTATGACCATTATTAAATATTGTTCATTGAAGCATACTTATTGTTATTATTGCTATTAATGGGCTACCACCAGCAAGAAGCTACTATATTACAGTTACTACCTGTAAATACACCTTCAAAACACCACAACCAAAATAATCAAGAATAAAAACCGGGAACGCGTGATGCTTTCCGTCGATCCCGTCGCCATCTTCTTTCTTCTTCCACGCTCTTTTTTTTCCCTAGCTTCGTTACGAAAATCCCCTAGTATTCGGCATCTGCGCAAAACGGTCGATTGGTTATATACGGAGCATATCATATTTTTGTTTCAGATGTAAAGGTGTGTTACCTAACCATAAAGGTGGATTATCACAACCCTCTATATATTTTTTTTAATTTTTCCATCCCCTTCAACAGAAACGAGCTGAGGCTGATGGGTGTATACGCCTTGGGCGGATGGATTGAGCGTCCTGAGCATTTTGGTATAAACACCACTTTCACATCCTGCGACGTTCTTTTTTACTTTGCAACATGTTATTTATTGACAGCTCACACTGTAGTTTGCAAGAGTAATAAAAGCAATTTGACAACGTCGCATTAGGAATTGAACATGGCCGCAGAATTTACCAGTGTAGATATAAACAATTTGGATTTTATTTAAAAGTGTACCCACGTGATTTAGAAATTGTTTATACACGAAATTCAAAAATTGTACAACCCCCAAACTGGAGAATGAACAATCTCACTGAAACTAGCGGAAACGAAGAGACTGAGAAGCAGTACGCCTGCAAATTTTGCTCGAAAAAATACAAGTTGCCCACCCGACTGCATGCACATGAAAAATTGTGTCTTTCGCCAGCATCCCAGGTAACCACAGGTGGCTGTGGAATCGAATGCTATTTTGAAATTGCAGGAGAAATCGTGCAAGACGTGCGGGCAAAGTTTTAAACAACCGAAACGGCTGCAAAAGCACGAACTGATGCATACGCTCGATCACAAATTCTCGTGCAAGTTTTGCAGTTGGCATTTCTCAACGAAGCACGAGTTAAACGTCCATAAGGCAGATGAACACTCCGATAAGGTATGGTTCGTGCGATTTGTATAAATAGTTATGCGAAGTTTCAGGTGCAAAGGCGAAGGTGTAAACTGTGCCCCAATTCGGTCTTCAATACCAAAGAGGAATACTTTGTGCATGTGAACGAAGAGCATAAGGGACAGTCCAGCGACTACCACATGTGCAGCGATTGTGGTAAACAGTTTAAAACGAAAAGCGAGTTGAATAATCACAATAAATCGCTGTGCGGCACTGTCAAGCAGTTTAAGTGCGAGGTAGGTTGGGTTGTGTACAGTACAATGACACTTTAAAAGTTCACAGTCCCTCCCTATCATAGAATAGACCGATACAGTTGAAATGGGCTAGTCCGAAATGGTATTTCAATGGTTTGTGCCCACACTAGGTTTTCCATGGCAAGTGAAAATCCTTTTGCCTAGGCTTGGTCCCAGTAAATTGTTACAATATGCCAAAAATGTGTCAAACTTCCATTTAATTTCTTAACCTGTACTCTCTATTTCCCATGTTGCAAAACCTATACCGAAGCAGATTAACACTAGAGGCGTAATTTACAAATGGCGTGTGTAGACGGTACCGGTTTGTAAACTTTGGGTTGAAATTGTGTGAATTGAATTTATCCTGCCGTTTTTGAGACTTGAAAAATTTAACCCCTTTATCCTATTGTACCTGAATGACTTTCTTTTTAAGAACTCAAGGCTGTCTTAAATTAGCTTGAACACGCAATTACTTAACTTGATCAGAATTTATCATTCCATTTCTAGCGTAGGTACTTGTACAACTGACCGATTGTCCTTTACATCGATTTTGATTTAAATTCATAGCACCATTACACTGACCACAATTTTATTTTAAACCAAGGTATTTTTCAATGTGTTGTTCTATAGAGGATATACAATAAGAGTTACAAACAAATAGGATAAACTGGCATTGCTAATTTTCGCTCAGGAGATGCTATCATCTGCTTTTTAAAGGGGTATAACTAACCGTAAAAATATAAAATCGTACGTTCATTACCGTGCCGATATGTGGTCCCCTCGTTCTGAGATGGCGCTATAGTTAGTCGAGGAGCGCCTAGTTCCGAAATGCGTTCTCGTAAATCTAATTTAGAAAAACGTACGTAGTTCCTTCACTCTCACGCTTTAGACTCTTTAGAGTTTCATTAAAGGTTTTCTTTACGTTTTAAGACATAAATACAATTTCAACCGAAATATAGTTCAACAAACGTCCAACGTATACTTATTTGGTTTCAGCAATGGAGCAATTTACGACATTTACTGTAATGGTCAACACTCAACTGCAAGTGTACAATCTAATCTACTATGAAATATGACACTTTCTATACAATGTGTAAAAGATAATCCGCTTAATTCGAAGAAATGATAAAACAAAAGGCGTAAAAATTAGGAAAGAGAGGTTTTAATTTTGATATCTAGAAATTGAAATTATAAAGGCTCTCCGGTGTGAGTTGTTTCTTCAACACGGAAGACAACTTGCATCTTATTCTTACCAGACCACATCTGCTCTACAATTTAACCAGTAACCAGCAATGCAATGAAAGGTAGATCGGCAAAGATTGTACTTTTTTGCGTTTTTTACCGCTGGTGCTATTGTTTTGCGTGTTCTCCGCCGGTCAGGAACTACTTTTGCCGTGTTCAACTACTTTTACGGGAATGATCCTAAACTTTTACATGCAATAACCAATAGAATCTATTAGTGGTTACGTCATATAATAGCCCACGAAATTCGAATTGCAGGACTTGTCTATTTTACTGTTGGAAATATTGACCCCTATCGGTCTATCCATTAAGGATTACTTTTAAATAGGTCCTCTTTATTACGGACTTATACTTACCTTATGCGCATTAAATAGGCATATACAGGGTGGTGACTTGCGTAACGCATCATAGGGATTTCAATGTAAAATTCATAACATGCGATTATTGGCTCACCAAATTATTTTAGATCAAGAATGTATTAAGGTTTTTTGTAGAAAAATAAAGACGGAAAATTGGAAAAATAAAACTCCCATCTTTTTCAATAATCTGTGATGCCATGGAATTTTATAATACAAAAACTACGCCAATATCCGTCATGCCATGGAATGTCTGCTATAAAACAAATCAAATTCTATCAAAAAGTATTCTATTTAGAACAGCGAATTCAACATAAAGAAAGACCAAATTACTAAAAACGGTTTCCTAATATAACAATTTACAATAATTAAATGTTCGAATAAGTCACCATTCACTGCAAGACAGTAACCAAGTCGATCATAAAATCCATTTCGATCTGCTGCTAATTGATAACTGGATATCTTTTTGTTTTAAGCGCGATTTAGACGCTACGATAAATTGTAACAATTTATCGTAACGATCGAATCGTTACGATTTATCGTTGCGTGTGAACAGAGGATTGTAGCGATTTATCGGAATTGGAATTGGATTGGATGGTTGATGGCGGCCGGCTTCAATTTCTGCGAATCGTAGCGATAAATTGGAACGTGTAAACAATAACAGCGATTTATCGCTACGATTTGTGACTAATGTTGCCGACGTGAACCATTTTTGTATCCATTTGGGCTACTTGGACTGTCTCTAGCGCACACGTTTTACATTTGGCGAGTGGCGATCAAGTTTGGCCACCCAAAAAAAATATTTGGCGACACATGGCTAGTCAGAAATCATAATCGAGATTAAGATTCTATTGTAAGCAAGCAATGTAAGAAATAAAATGCGAGTATAATTTATATTAGTGGACAGAACCAAAAGACAAGTTGAAAAGTAAAAAAATAAAAACTGTATTAAACCGTGAAGGACAATGAGATTGGAATAAGAAATCGTTACATGTAAACAGTACGCACTCTTTCGATTTATTGAACGATAAATTGGACAATCAGATCGTTACGATTTATCGAAGCCAAGATCGTAGCGTCTAAAGCGCGCTTTAGAAAATTCCATGGCGTCGCAGATTATTGAAAAAGGTGGGGGTTTTATTTTTCCAATTTTCCGTCTTTATAAGAACAAAATTGAAAACTAATACGGTTGATTGGCGTAAAAAAAATTTTTCTACAAAAAACCTTCATACATTTTTGCTCTAAAATAATTTGGGGAGCCAATAATCGCATCTTATCACTTATGAATTTTACATTGAAATCCCTATGATGCGTTACGCAAGTCACCACCCTGTATATCGACCCTCTTATATCGAAACACTGATTACTTAACTTTAAAACAGAGCAATAATCGTTAAATAAAATCCATTAACTGCGTTATAATTAAAAATTAAAGATATGTCTACCATATTTACACTTTACGGTTGACATTATGGAATGATCATGAGTTTCATGACCTTGTTCTTGTGTTTACATTTTCCCAATTGAGAGTCGATATGCTTATTTAATGCGCATAAGGTGAGTATAAGCCCGTAAAGAGGACCTATTTTAAAGTGATACTTAATGTATGGGGCGATAGGGGCCAATATCTTCGACAGTGAGACAGCCAAGTTCAAATTTGACGTCACACTACTAAGAGTCTAATACCATTTTACATGCGCATGCCTTTAGTGGCAAGTAAAACTTTGGAAAATGGGAAAGGCTGGGGGGGGGGGGAATCACACGTTTTACCCATTCATGGTATTCTAATTAAAGGTCTCAACAAAACGGAACTGTTTTCTACGAACTATCGCCCTTTTTTCTGACACTGAAAAAAATTAGAAATTACTACAAACGAATTTTTGAATGTTTAAGAAATCTTTTTTGAACCTTTTTGAATCGATATTGAATTTTTTCAGTGTTATATTAAAAAAAACAGAATTTTATATGCTATTTTTAGATTGAAATATACAGGGTTATGCCATTTAAATAAAATTAAGTTAGATATAATAACTTTTTTACCCGATAGTACTGTATAATTATTTATTTTGAAAACGGCAGATTATTTATCAATAATTTTCAAGAAACATTTTTTTGTTTCTGTTTTTACTAAGAATATGTATAGGGTCATTCTGAAATTGAAAATTGTTTGATTTATCTCCGTATCTCTGAAGCAAAAATGTGCAAATTTTGATTTTACCATTGCAAGTTTGACCTGAAAAGAGCCCATAACGCCTATAAAAGTGTCGAAAATGGGACACCCTGCACATGAAACACTATGTAAAATTCCAAAAGGAAAAAAATGTATTTTCATTAAAAAAAAAAGTTGTTGGTTGTAACTTATTTTTGAAACTATTTGAACTTTAAAACTTAATACGGTAAAATCAAAATTTTCGCTCGGGTAAGAAATACAGGGAAAACCACAAAATTGTTAATTTCAAAATGATTATATCGGCCCGTATTATAAAGCCATACAGCATTTACTTAACTATGTTGTCAGCTAACAGTGTTGTTAAGACATGTGATTGGATGTTTTTACAAACAATAACATCATTCTTAAGCTGGCCCGTGTGTCGCAGTTGAGTTGAATGCTGGACTGCGGTACTAAGGGTCCCTGGTTCGAATCCGGGTACGGGTATGGGAATTTGTAAATGTGTAGTGGGTTAGGTTGATAGAGCAGCCTTAGCTGAAACCCCGCCCACTCAATACTAAAGACAAGTTAAAAAAGTAATCGTAAACGATTTACAAAGAGCGCATTTCCACTTGCATTCATTTCTCATTTCTCAGATGCAACTTCTATTAAAATCGTAAAAATTCGGCCACCAATATGAAAGATAGCGTTGCATATGAGCAATCCATTTTTATGTCCTACTTCAATTTCAGTTTATAAGAAGAATTTCATTTCAACGCTTTCATAAATAAGAAAGTTGACACTGCGCATGCGCAAACCTAAATTTGGAAACTAACGTTAGATTTTCCTTTGTTTCAAGTGGGTATGTATCAAATTTCATTTAAATTTCCATAAATAAAAAAGTTTGCAATTCGGTTTATAAATGGTCGAGATGCGAAAAGGGCACTGTGAATTTTGAATCGATTCGACTCAACTTTTGGCATTGCGTATTCTGGCTAAAGCTATGCCCATATTGAATTTGAAGTTAGACCACAGTTTTAGGACCGCCTAGGCCATTGTTTAGCAGCAAACAGTGCTTCAACTTTTTTGGCACATTTTTTTGCAAATTTATTTGTAAAACGGTGGCTTTTAATCTCACTTTGGCCGGCGGGTTAGCTGGCTGGCAGCAAATGAGACCCCGTAGAAGATCGCTTGTAGTATCTCTACCGCAAAATTACCTTTCGTACAGACGTGCACCACTTAAATTTGAGGCACAGGGGACTTCTATCTGTTCCTATGTTTAAATTATCATTATTCAAACGATCTTTCTTATTCAACATCTGTAAATTTTGCAACAACCCCAAAAATACAAAATTACTGTATCTGCCTGCTCTAGTGTTCAAAAGAAACATCAAACATCGAATCATTAGAGAGCGAATGTTAATGCGAACGTAATTGAAACCACTACGATGTTTCCGTTGCATCTCCAAACGATAAGCTGCCTGTCAATAATTGTTTACTTTACAAATAACTTTAACTATTGCAGAATAACTTTATTTATTTGTATTTACACAAGGGGGTTTCAAGGGGAAGAACAGGTGACCATATCAACGGGTTTACCTGACCTTGTGCCCATTGGTTATGGTGTAGGAACCATTATTTAACCAATAAAATATTATATTATTATGGTCGGTGTTTCTTGTGAGAACTCAGGTCTAGCCTGGTTAACTAATCGCACGGATTAAAATCAAGTAACGATTAGTGTCTGTGTCTGTGTCTGGTGAAGTTATGTAGTAAAAAAAAAAAATATATATATATATCACACACGTACATTGGACATCTAGGGATAATGTAATTCGTACTTACCAACATACCTATTGATGGGCACAATAGCCAACGCTATCAGGAAAGAGGAAAACAAAACAAAAAAAATCATAATAATTCCTGTAATTTTAATAAATGGAGTTTATTGTGTAAGTGTTTCTTTGGCTTTGCGTTTGGGTTGAATACGAGTGGGTTGTGATAACGTGGTGTGCTTCTGTGAAGAAGGAGTTTTGTGTTTTTCAATTGTATTTATGGTGTTTCTTTGTTCCTGAGGTCGTATTTGTGAGGTTGCTTGGGTTTTTGGTGGAGATATTGCAGTATTTTGTGAGCCTGTGGTGCTGTTAAGGTTTTTGCGTTTCGGTTGTATACTAGTGGGTTGTTTCTGAGAAGAAGGAGTATTGTGTTTTTTAACTGTGCTAGGGCGTGTAACTTTATTGGATGGACCTGTCTTTGTAGTACATGTTGCGTTACTTGTGTTTATGGTGTTTTTTTGTTCTTGAGGTGGTATTTGTGAGGTTGCTTGGGTTATTGATGGAGATATTACAGTATTTTGTGAGCTAGTAGTGCTGTATAGGTTTTTGCGTTTGGGTTGAATACGAGTGGGTTGTGATAACGTGGTGTGCTTCGGTGAAGAAGGAGTTATGTGTTTTTTAATTGTGCTAGGGCGTGTAGTTTTATTGGGTGGACCTGTCTTTGTAGTGCCTGTTGCGTTAGTTGTATTTATGGTGTTTCTTTGTTCTTGAGGTTGTATTTGAGAGGTTGCTTTATTTTTATTATTATTTATTATTGAAGAAGTCAAATTTGTTGATTGGGTCGTTTTTTGATTAAATTAGTTGCTGCTTGAGAAACATAGCATATTTAGATTAGTCCTAAAAATGAGTGGATTAGTAAACATCTTAAATTTCGTACGCTTTGTGTTTTTAAATTAATTTGAGGCGGTTAAAGCAAATGGCTCTTAATGGGCGTTGAATATGCTTCGTAGTAGCACTTGATTTTAATTAATGGTTCTATGAATAGCTAAAT